CAAAAACGCGAATCCATTACGTTGCTTCGATAGCTTAATTGGTAGTGATTTGAACTACAGATCTATAGACCCTGGTTTGAATCCGACTCATTTATGCTATTCATTTTCCAATTTTATCATTGTGTTTGGGATTTCCTTTTTCAATTGATGCAGAAACAGAGTCCAAGCATGAACCCTCTAAGAGTCTTGAGAAAAATAGCAGACCAGGTTTCACGGGTTAGTATCTAGTCATTTCCTTAATCATCGTGTGTCTGGCAGGCCTGAAATTACACACGACTCTATAAGCGTTTTCGAAACGGATGGATTCGGCTTAGACTGTGGTTTCGCTGGTTCATCGATCTACAAGCAGCGTTCGAAACCACGGATTGGAATCAGCGAAACTGCAGTCTCACCGAATCCACTCGTTTCGAAAACGCCCAATGGTAGTGACTGCCGCCAGTTTACACTGGTTCCAGTCCTGTACATAGGCCGTTTTCCAATACCCAACTTCGTCTCCGTCTGGGGCTTCGTGTAGGAAACCAATCCTCGATTGTGGGCCTGAAGTGTTTAACTGTAATGTAATGTTATGTTTGGCTCTTTTGCATCTTACTTGATGTTTTGTGGCACTATGAGACTCACTATTGCGTTTACAACCTCAAAGTCAGGAAGAAAAAAAATTGTTGAAGCCTCAAACGGAGCCCAAGTCGAGTATTGGCAAACGGCCATAGTCTCCAGACGTCTTACAGACTAGTCTGGTTCCCTACCCAAAGATTCCCTGACGACTCTTGATAAAAACTCTTAGATCAGGAACACCCACGGATATAAATAGATAGTCGTCACCGGAAATAACTTCTCTATAAATGATTTATGTATCTAAAATTTAACACAATAATCACTGATTTGAAAGAAATGGCCGTAAAATGATTTATTGATGATAATCATTTCAAAATAAATTAGTACACTGTGATAAACAGAGGCTTGGTAACGAAAGGTATTTTTTCTTGTCCCTGCTGAAATGTGTTTCTTGCTAAAGCATTGCGATTGGCCTGACAAACTGAACTTATTAAGCATCCAAAATGACAGAGCTAATCGCACAAGTTTAACCGCGGCTAGCTACCGGTCCCTATATAATCGGGATGAGGACCAGTCCACAGCCAGTTTATTTCCCATAGAGTCACGCGTAATTTCAAGCCGCAGCCAAGTGATTCTACGGACGCAGCTATCAAGTCACACATAGCTCGCATNATCAGGGATACAAGGAGACTATACCACTAGAACAACGCTGGAGTTCGTCGTCCACAGCGCCCTCTATCTAGCTGACAAAAATGAGGCCTTAACATGCCCAACGTAGTTTTTCTACATGGAAATGAACGACGAGAACGCAGGTTTGAGCTTTCTCAGAAACATTTCAGATCACGAATTACTGGGTGTTTTACGGACTACAGCCAAGAATCCAACAAACTTGCTTCTGTAGGCAAACCAAACTTGAGTTTGCCTATAGAACTACAAAAGACCATACACGTCCGGGTACACATTTTTAAGTGCAAGGAGCAACTGCGCAGCTTGATGCCACCATAGACCTGGAGGAGAAAAACCCTCCTGGTCTATGATTCCACCCGGCCCTCCATGCCAGCGTGGCCCAGAGTGGCTTCGGGCGTGTTTGCGGATTCGCGCGCATTTCACAGATTGGAACAAATCATCAGCCGTATTCGAATAACTTGGCTACGTCCTGAAATCACGCACAAGTCAATGGTGACCGCAAGTTGTCACCGATTCGTGCGAAATTTCAAGCCGCAGCCAAGTTATTCGATTATCGGACGCAGCCGATGACCAACCACGCGCTGACTTTTTGTGAGAAAGTGAAATTTTGGGTGCAAGTTGTCTTTACCTGAATGCTGGCCGGGGTTTAACATGGCCCGTAGCCTATCGACAGCAGCGAGTGCACGTAGGCTTACGTAGACACTGCTGGCCTGAGATTGGTCGTCCGGTGCCGTCTGGAAGTAACGGTGAGGCAAGTTCCTATGAGCACCAAAGGCAGATTCAGGCTTTCCTGAGGGTGTCATTATGTTTACAGAAAGTGAGAGACTGCAGCCAAGAATCCACGAAATGTAATCCGAGCTTGAGCGTGCCGACAGAACAAAGACGACGATAGTGTAGGCCTACACATTGGTGTCTGCATGGGTGTGATTGCACGGCTTGGTGCCAGGCTAAAGGGACCTAAATTTGACAACGAGCGGTTTCCCGCGCATTTCACTTTACAGGACTGTTAATCATCGTGTGTCTGGCAGGCCTGAAATCACACACGACTCTATAAGCGTTTTCGAAACGTGTGGATTCGGCTTAGACTTTGGTTTCGCTGGTTCATCGATCTACAAGCAGCGTTCGAAACCACATGTTCAATCTCGGATTGGAATCAGCGAAACTGCAGTCTAACCGAATCCACTCGTTTCGAAAACGCCCAATGGTAGTGACTGCCGCCAGTTTACACTGGTTCCCGTCCTGTACATAGGCCGTTTTCCAATACTCAACTTCGTCTCCGTCTTGGGCTTCGTGTAGGAAACCAATCCTCGATTATGGACCTGAAGTGTTTAACTGTAATGTAATGTTTGGCTCTTTTGCATCTTACTTGATGTTTTGTGGCACTATGAGACTTACTATTGCGTTTACAACCTCAAAGTCAGGAAGTAAAATATAGTTGAAGCCTGAGACAAAGCCTCAAGTCGAGTATTGGAAAACGGCCATAGTCTCCAGACGTCTTACAGACTAGTCTGGTTCCCTACCCAAAGATTTCCTGACGACTCTTGATAAAAAATCTTAGATCAGGCGACCTTTGATTTCAATGCATCAAATATTGTAGGATCAATGGCTGCCATAAGGATACGGGAGTTTCCTGCAGCCTACCAACCTGGCCGGGAATAACCAAACATCAACGGTACCATCCGAACATGCCGAATATAGACGCGACGACTTCGGAATATTTCGGCTATTTCCGAAAAACTCGAGGAATTTCTCCAATTTGGTCACGTGGACATTTGGCGATTACCCCTTGATTTGTAGTGTAGTAGTCAGAATCATTGTGTCTGGTATCCAGACTACTTACAGACGTCCTCTGAACGTGCGGGCCGGTAGCGGGTTAAACGAATCCGGCCAGGTGTATGTAAATGAGGAAACAAGGCCCGCTCAATGCACAAAAGCAGTTAAGCTGATAGCATAGTTCGTTTTTTCCTTCGTCACCGGAAACAACTTCTCAATAAATGATTCATATATCTAAAATTTAACAGTTTATTTCCCATAGAGTCACGCGTAATTTCAAGCCGCAGCCAAGTGATTCTACGGATGGCGCTATCAAGTCACACGTAGCTC